CACGACGGAGCCCCAGCCCGAGCAGCCGCCGCCGGCCCAGGCCGAGCCCAGCGCGGCCCAGCAGAACGGGGAGGCCGCGCCCGCCGCCCCCGCCGAGCCCGAGGACGAGATTTCCTTCAGCGACCCCGAGGACTTCGTGGACGACATCAGCGACGAAGGTGCGGGGCGGGAGGGGCCGCGGGGGAGCCCATGGGGGGCCGGGGGAGCCCGGGCTGGGAACGCTCTGCCCCGACCCCAGGGGATGCTCGCGGTACCCCCAGCACGGTCTGCATCGCTTTAGAGCATCCAGTATTCTAAAATCTGCTGTTAAAGGTGCTTTAAAATCTATTGTTAAACTTCAGGTGTCGTTCTCTGGGCTCCCCTCTAAGAGGGGGGTCGTCGACTCGTGCCCCTTCCCTTTGCCTCCATTAGTTGAACTCAGCTGTAAAACCAGAAGTTTTAAATGGTTGACGCGGTGGTTGCAAACTGGGTTTTCATCGTTCTCTGTTATTTCAGCATACAGGAGTTAAAACTCTATTTTACTGTTTTTCTGATAAGTCTTTCTTGATAAATTGTTTTAGTTTTTAAATAGCAAAAGCACCTCTTTTGCCAGTATTTGTTCAGCATATGTGCTGTGTTGGAGGGACTCAGGTACGTGTCCCCTGGATGTTTTGAGTCAGTTACAAGTGTCAGAACTAGAAAAATGTTTCTAAAGCACAATATTTTAAATCAGTTAATTCAGTTCTTGGAATACAGGTGATACATCTGCCTTCTAGTGTTCCAGGCCTGTGTTTAGCTTAATAAAATAGCAGCCAAATATCTTAGATTAAGAAAGTGTTTGCTGTTCTCAGTATAGCAGTTGTGTTGCTCTTTGAACTTGTACATTTGTTCCTTAAAGAGGCTTTGGCTTGGATTCTTTTTGTTTAGTTAAGTGCTTGCTTGATACACTTGTTCTACATCTCAGATTGTTATGTTGAGTTCTTTTTTTCAGAAACTGGGCATATTTTCCATCCTCACCTATTTTATTTGTTAATTAATTTGGCTACCTTCTCAGCTGTGTGAATAACCCAGTGTTAGTGGCTGAATTACAGTGTTTAGGTTTAGTCAGTCTCGCTGGTCTGGCTTTCCCATCTGTGTGTTACTTCATGAGTTTCCTTATTCCTTTCCCCTTATCCTGATGCCTCCCCAAGGAGAAAAGCAGTCCATCACTGTCACTGATCAAGCTCAGGATAACATCCATCTTCAGGAACACCTGTGGGATGGACCAGCTTTGGGACTGGACCAGCTCAGATCCATTCCTTCAACTTTTTTTTCCCCTTGGAGTGGTGGTGGCAGAGCAGAACAGCTGATCCAAGTTAAAGCAGGAGAAAGGAGTGTGTTGGACAAGCACTAAGGTGCAATGAAGCTTTAGCTCAGATAATGACAGTGGTCCTTAAAATACTGCCAGCTGAAGATAGCCATGAACCCACCACACCCTGCTTCCCTTCTGGGTGCTGTAGGAGCTGGCTAAACCAGCTTCTTACCCTTTGAAGATTCCTTTGTTCACAATTTTGAATTTAAGGCAGAGGAAGGGCACGGTGCAGGAATTTGTTTTCACTCTTGTTACAGTTTTGATTCAACACAGGGTGTTGCATTCTTGCATGGGAATCTTAACACGCATTCCTTGGCCCTGTCTGAAGGGCTACAAAGTCTTTTGTGAGAAGTGGTTGTGAAAAAAAATTACTAATGGGGCTTTAAAATCACCCTTTTGTGTTTTGGTTTGGTTTTTTTTTTTTCCCCTTTTTTTTTCATCTCGTAGACTTCTGTGCAAATGTCCTTGTGGGATATGCTCTCATTTTATATATTTTATATTGTTAATTGTAGTTCCTACATGCACATGGAGAGCATCTTTTTGAGTAATAAATACTACAAACAACGTTCCATGAAGTACTACATAATCTTTCCAGTGGTGTTTCTGGGCAGAATAATTTGTAGAATTCCTAAACCAGCAAGAATCTATAAAAATGTCTTCAAAATGATCAGCATATCCAACACCCTTTTTAGTTTGTTCTCATATTTTAAATGTTTCTGCCTGTGCTTGGACTTTCTTTCCTTGTCTGTGAATGCCATATGACTCTCCAGATTTTATCTGTGTTCTAATTCAAAAGTGTAGTGGCACGAACTTATTTTCTGTGCAGTGTTGTATTTTATAGTTTTACGTGAAACTTACTGCAGATATTCAGGAATTAATATAATTGAAGAATATCCACAGTGTGAAAAGGTGTGTGTCTTCACTGAAGGCTTAAATATGGCTTTAAGTGTCTTGTCTTAGACCTTTATTTTTGTGTTTAATTAAGGCTTTCGAAGGAGTGTGAGTTCTTAAACATAATTATAGTGATGCTGAGACATGCAGAGCTTCCAGTGTGGGAGATAGTTTTGAATTAAGCTGAAACTTGTGTGATTCAGGAGGGAGGTACATGGTACCTTTTTTTTTCCCCTCAAAGTCATCTGGTTATAATTTGAGCAATTAATTAGGGACTAATCAGAGCTTGGGTAGTAAATCTTACAATTGTCTGTGTTACTGTCAGTTTTGAGGACTTTGTGAGCCAGTTCCATCTCCTGAAAAAAAGGTAATAGTGCAACTGTTGATGACCACAATGTAAGGTATTTCTTTAACAAAGATTTCAAGAGCTGGCAGCTTGGAGTTTGTCACTGAGCCAGGAAATGCTGTTGGAGTGTTGTGCCTTCAGTTGTTTCTCTGATAGAATGTTCATTCACTGTCAAGTTTCTTAAATAATTCTTTAAATTTTCTCAGATTTGGAGTCTTTCTGTTCTGTTACTCTCAGTATTCTTTCCATCTTTGTCTTCCTCCTCCACGTTGCAGAGGGGTGCCTTAGTTCCCTGTACGTGCTGTCTTTGCAGAACTTCTTGGTGATATACTGAAAGATCAGCCCCAGGAGGCAGATGGGATAGACTCGGTGATCGTCGTGGATAACGTTCCCCAGGTTGGGCCAGACCGACTTGAGAAACTGAAGAATGTCATCCATAAAATATTTTCCAAGTTTGGTAAAATTATCAATGAATTCTACCCAGAAGCAGACGGAAAAACAAAAGGGTAAGTCACGGTAACTCCAGCTAAGAGGATTGAAGCACAGCTCTGACTTAACCTTGATTATTGGTGTCAATACTTCATGACTGGTTTTTATGATTATCCCATAGTCATTATCATCATCATCACCTTTTTCTACCTTAGTCTGTACAATCCTGATATCTCGTCTCAGTGACAGACAGACATATAGGGGGGAGCTGAGAAGTTTAATAGCTCCTTAGGCTCCAGTGTGGAGCATGGCAGGAATTAATTATTGAAACGGTTTAGCTGGGTTTGGAAGACAGATTTCTGTGCATTACTACATGAGTGGTGTTTTGTTAATTTTCTGCTCCGGCTGATCAGTGAGTTAAAGGTCCACTTGAGTTAAAAGCAGTAGCAGTGAACGTACTAAGTAATGCAAAATAGGCTATCAGTATGTGTAGCATATATTGCTGAGTGTTGGAGGAATACATAGTTTGGAAGGCATAAAAAAAGTGAGTTTTCTGGAGTGTATAAGTTGTTGGTTCTGTGAGGTCTGTGTGAGAAGGATGAGAAAATTAATCAATCTCTGTGTTCATGGCTCTCTTTGAGGCAGCATCTGATGGTGTTCAGAATACTGTTATTTTAAGTCTGCTGGGCTGCAAGCTGGATTGGATCAGTGGCCAGAAGGAAGCTGAGTTGTGTAATTGAAAAACAAGTGTGGTGCTTTGGAGTGCCTGTGACAGCAACAGTCACAACTCCTAAACATGACGTGTCACTCAGCTGGCAAGAGCTGCAGACATAACTTGCCTGTTCCTGGCTCTCATTGTCCTGTGTTGTGTTGTGTTGAATTTGCATTCATCACTGACTCTGGCCCATTCAGAAAGGATATCTGATTAACTGAGGTCAGACCCATACAGCTAAAAAGTGCCTGTGGCCAAAGTGGAGATTAATTGCTGTTGACCCTAATTGGCTAGGGATGAGACAAGAAGTTATTTTGTAGATGCTTTGTACTGAATTCTTAATTCATCCCCATTGTTTTGTCTTTATTATGAACTGGTTCTATAGTCAACAGTGTCATCCTACTTTGGTCTTCCTTCACTGTAGGTACATCTTTCTGGAGTACATGTCTCCATCTCACGCAGTGGATGCTGTGAAGAATGCAGATGGATACAAACTGGATAAGCAACACACCTTCAGAGTCAACCTTTTCACAGACTTTGATAAGTGAGTGCAGCCCCTGTGGGTATCTGTAGATTTGGGGTTTCTAATCAAGAGTGCCTGTGTGGAGTGTAACCAACCTAATTGCTCTTTCAGGTACATGACAATCAGTGATGAATGGGAAATCCCTGAGAAACAGCCATTCAAGGACTTGGTAAGGAATTTTTGGAAAAGTGGAAAGAATATTCAGCATAATAATAAATGGTTACTTCATGGCTGGAGTGTCCATATGAAAATAGAAATGATGTGTTAATAGTGTTATAAGTAGCAGTAGTGATCACATGCTCCTGTTCCTTCGTTTTCATGAAATGACAGGAAGAGCTTTGTGGTTCTGCTTGATAGTTCCACGTAGTGTAAAGCTTCAGAGTAAATCACAGTTTTGCACAAATCATTTAAAAATAGATTTTCAGAAGCATCTTTTTTATATTTTCAATTGTTTGAGGCAAACTTTGATGTTTGTTACCAGTAGCTTTGTAAATGGTCTGGTGGAAGAAGGGATAGAGTTGTTTTTATTTTTTTTTTTAATTAACAATAAACCAAATAAGATATTTATAGAAGAAATATTAAACATCATCAAGCTACCTTGAAGGTCCACCTGTTTATTATGTGCTCTCAGCCTCCATTATCCAGTAGCTGAAGTTCTTTAATTTCACTTCAAAAACTTGTTTGTAGTGGTGGTAAGACCCCAAAGTTGCACACTCTGGTGAGACCAACTTCCACCTGCCAGGTAGATACTAATTTGAGGAACTTGTCTTAGCCTTTGACTCACTAATAATCTTCTTGCTTCTGTTTTCCGTAGGGGAATCTCCGATACTGGTTGGAGGATCCTGATTGTAGGGATCAGTACAGTGTGATCTTTGAGTCAGGAGACCGGACCTCTATTTTTTGGAATGACATCAAGGAACCTGTTCAAATTGAGGACAGAGCAGTGAGTGTCCTGGAAGTGCTGTACATGGCAGATACACTGTCAGTCTCCTTCCTTCATTTTATGACGTTGCAGCTTTTTAATTAAAAAATAATCTTTTTCCCATTGCTGAAATACTTTTCCTTGTGAGGAGTGGTGAAACCACATCATTTAGAATTAGATTTCGCTGCTTAGGTAAAAGAAATGTGGAGTGAACTTTTGGAGTTTGTGGTGGTGTTTGTTATTTTCGACTGGTCCACGATGCCTATTAGTTTCCTTCATCTCTCTGTTACAGGTGATTCAGAAAGACCTGAAATGCAAAGTCAGAGTTTGAGGAGCACTAGTCATTAGAGCTGAATGTGTGCCTATGTTTGCTGCTTCAGATGACTTCTTGCTTTTGTGCTGACTACAGAGGTGTTAAAGAGGAATAGCTGGTTTGGTAATGGCATATAAAAGGGAGAGTTAGTCTGCCTGTCTGCTGCAGGCACTTGACTTGCTGGAAACTGTTAAGACCCAGAAGCATTTTCCTTAATAACCATTGTGCATTACAGTAGAAAGAAGTTGGCTTTGGGATGGTGAGAATATTTGCTCATTGCTGTGGTCACTGGCTGTGCTCTGCATTGCTGAAACCTCTCTAACATAGCTGAAGGTCAAGAGCTGTGCTGTTAAGAAATTTGAAATACCTTTACTTCTGAGAAAACTTATGTTGTTACCAGGGCTGAAAGACAACAGGGAAACCCCAGGCCTGGTAGGTGGGTTTAGTTGTTATTATACAAAAGTTCTCACTGTACCTGGAATTTTTGGTGATTAGTAAGTTGAAAAGGTTCTCAACTGACAATTTTCAACATGAAGAATAAGTGCTGTACATCATGTGCATGAAACTAAACTCCACAGCTAGTCCAAGGTATCACGAATTCTGAGATCTACACTTAGTAAATGGATTTTCGAAAAGTGATGCTGCAAGCCACACACTAATTCTTTCCCTTTTTGGGGAGCACAACATGAAATTAAACCTTTTTGTGTTTCTTTTTTTTTTTTTTTTTAATCAGAGGTGGACAGAGACCTACGTGCGTTGGTCCCCAAAAGGTACCTACCTGGCCACGTTCCACCAGAGAGGCATCGCACTGTGGGGTGGAGAGAAGTTCAAGCAGATTCAGAGGTTTAGTCACCAAGGAGTGCAGCTTATTGACTTCTCACCTTGTGAAAGGTATGGAGCATGACATGGGGCTAAGGGATCAAAAGCATGAGGCATGAGTAGCATACTCCACATCTGTAGTGCTGAAGTGAATTCCTTAAGCCTTCTTTAACGTGAAAGAGCTCTTGAGAGAAGGATAAAATAATTCCAGGACTCAGATGCATCTCCTCTTGATAGTTTTCCGGTATGATATTTGGAAGCACTTAGGGTTTATGCTCTATTGTTTTAAGAGAGGTTATTTATCTTTAAATGGAGAAGTTTAGCAAACCTGTAGTTTGGGTTGGATAAGGTCAGTGGATTTATGTTTGGTTCAAAACCAGTGAAGTTCTTGTGTCAAAGCTGTGTAATATGTAACAGCGTGTTTGGTGGGTTCCCCTTCCTTGTAACATCAATATGGGAAGGCTTGCCCATAAATCTGGAGTCTTTTCACCCAGAGGGATGCCAGGGAAATACTGTGTCTTGGAAGCTTCCTCCTCCTTTGTCATGCTGTTCCTATTTTTTCCCTCCTCTGAAAAATCCCATTAGAGAAACTGCTGTTTGAAAGTGCATGGTATTTAACTATTACTTGAATGAAAGCCTGCTGGTACTGATATACCAGATGAAGTTCCAGCTGTGAAATTAATTGTTTCTTTTGTAGGTATTTAGTCACCTTCAGCCCTTTGATGGACACACAGGATGACCCTCAGGCCATCATCATCTGGGATATTCTGACTGGCCAAAAGAAGCGAGGATTCCACTGTGAAAACTCAGCTCACTGGCCTATTTTTAAGTAGGTTGAGAAGCAGAATTAGAGTTATAGTCCCAACCTTCATTTAATAAAAAGGCAGTTCTAAATTAATATATTTTTTTCTTTTTTTTGCTTAGGTGGAGTCATGATGGTAAATTCTTTGCTCGAATGACTTCAGATACCCTCAGCATCTATGAAACACCTGTAAGTTCTTCCCTTTTTCTTTTTTCATAATGCCTATTGCATTACAATGTCAGTCTTTCCTATGGTTTTTAGTAATGCACTTTAGAGCTGGGCTTAGAGGGAAGAAATCAATTTGCTCTTGTCTTGTTCTTTCCTGGGTGAAAAACTTTAGCAGAGTCTGACAGTAAATTTCACACCACAGACAGCTCAATATACTACTTATAAGAATCAGTAGGATCAAGGTTATGTGATTCCTCCCAGCTCTCAGTAGCAGTGCCAAAGTACCCGAAATGCACTATAAATTGCAGCCTAATCTATTCTGTTTTGCTTTTTCTTTATCATTCAGGCTGCTGTACCTGCTAATTACCTACAACGACTTTTATTTGGCTTGTGATTGTGGTTACATAAGTTTATAATAAAAAATAGTGATGCAGGAGCTCTGAAAGCTGTAGAATTTCCTAGTTTCTGTGCTCTGATAATGAGAGTAGAAGGTATATGTGTAAATATAAGAATGGTACTAACTTGAAAATTCCTCCTTCTTTTTTAGTCTATGGGTTTGTTGGACAAAAAGAGCTTGAAAATCAATGGGATAAGGTGAGCCTGTTCCTTTGTAAACATAGCTGCCCTCTCTAGTTGCAATCTCTTTTTCTGGAGCTTTGTTATGGCAAGAGGAATCTTTAGATTGTTGACTAGAGCAGAAGGCTTTCTATGCTGAGGTGGTCAAATTAGACAAACTGGAAAAAAAGAAATGGGAAACTCTCCATTCATCAATGAACACAGTTGACAGCTTCTGTGCTTTGAAATGCTCTGTGGTACTGCTTAATCCAGGGTCCAGCTTGTCTATGAAACCAGACTGAACGCAGTTTGTTAGGGAATATCTCCCTGCCAGGGTTGGTGTGCTGGCTTAGAGCAGTGTGCTGTGTGCTGCCTGGTTTGTGCCCGTCTGCTCGAGAGACACTGACTCCTGGGAGAGTTTTTGAAGTACCTCTCTGTAAAGGAACAAGAAAATCAAGTGTACCCAGGTGCAAGAAGATTCTCACCAGGGTAATTTAATAGGGTTGGTTTAATCAGCCTGTTTTTAGATCTTTGGTGGTTACTCTGTGTGTCACCCCTGCTTTTCAGTGAAATGTACTGTCCTGATAAAATCGGTGATATAGCAAATTTAAATATTAGTTTAAAAATCTGTTTAGGTGTTGTTATGTGTAAGCTTATTAAATTGCCCTCAGTTACTGCCTTTTATATTGAGAGTTGATATTTGTCTGCAACATCAGATACAATGTGGAAAATGGTTTCTTCTTGTAGTATCTCTTAAGTAAAAATTAAAATGGCCTATTTTTAACTTTGTTCCTGTAGAGACTTCTCATGGTCTCCAGGTGGTAACATAATTGCTTTCTGGGTGCCTGAGGACAAAGACATCCCAGCAAGAGTGACTTTGATGCAGCTGCCTTCTAGACAAGAAATTCGAGTGCGGAATTTGTTCAACGTAGTAGATTGTAAACTGCACTGGCAGAAGAACGGGGACTACCTGTGTGTGAAGGTAGACAGGACTCCCAAAGGCACACAGGTAGGTGGATTCTGATTTTATTGGTAAAATTTGGTTCTATCTCGTGCTGACATGAGATAGACTGTCTTTTCATATAGACAGTGTAAATTTTATCATGCCAAAGCTATTTTTCTTTCTCTTTTTTTTTTTTTTTTACTTGAATTTGAAGCAAAGAGGAAAATATATGTAGTGATTGTATCCAGGATTTGCTTTGACTGTAGTGACCTCTTGGATTGGGTCAGAGCTGTGTGCCTCACCTTTTTTCCTGCTCTCACAGTTCAGCAGCTGTTAGACAGCCCACAGGTCATGCAGCACAATGTGCCATATGTTTGTCTGTCCCAATTAAATTTCATAACAGTCTGAAAAGAAACAAATGCTTTTGTATAGTTATTAAGTTAATCAGGACAGAGAAATTTGGAATGTGTTCGGTAAGGAGGCATATATCTGCTCTCATTAAAGGAACAAACCTTGACTCTCTCATCATGACAGGCTAATTGAGTAGTTGTCTTTCTGTGCCTAGTGATAAAATTATTTACTGTTTTTATACTGGATAAAAAGCTGATTTTGGCCTTTACAGGGAGTAGTGACCAACTTTGAAATATTCCGCATGAGAGAGAAACAGGTGCCAGTGGATGTGGTAGAAATGAAAGGTAATGCCACGTATTTCCTTACTTTTGAGCTTTAACTCTTTTGTATGGACACTTCTGTGTTTCTTAGAAATTCCTGTCAGCATTTGACATAATTAGGGAATTAACTCTTTGGAGCTAAATTAGTAGTTTAGGACATTTCCTGTAAAAATAAGAAACCAAAACATCTATTGCTATTGGGGCTTGTGACTGACTTGAAAAATTACAAAGAAAGTGTCTTAGTAATGACATATTAATATAATAATGAGTGTATTTTGTAGAAGATGGAAGACTTTAGAGCTGTAGTTGGAAACAGTTTGAAACCAGAGGTTTGTATTGTCCTTTGCCAGAGGTTTAACCCTTTCCTTTTTTTTTTTTTTTTTTTTTTTTTTTTTTTTTTTTTTACAGAAAGCATCATAGCCTTTGCTTGGGAACCAAATGGAAGCAAGTTTGCTGTGTTGCATGGAGAAACTCCACGAATTTCAGTTTCCTTTTACCATGTTAAAAACAACGGGAAAATAGAACTCATAAGTAAGTGACTGAAAAAAACAAGTGAAAAGGGCAGGTACTAAGCATTTTGCATGGCAGTAGATGCAGTAAACTCAAAATTGTGGCTGTCTGTGATGGGTATTGTAGGATTTGCTGCTATGCCTACTTCTGTATTCCAGAAATTTACTTCCTAGTGACAACTAAACTGTTACCAGAGTAAGCCCAGTGCCTGGGAATAAAAGGCCCACGAGTCAAAATAATTTTTTTGGCTTTGGGAAGCTGTGAGGCAATAGCACAGACTTGGCTCACTTCAGATAAAATTTATTCCCAAGAATGTGTTGGGGTCTTCTGATCTCTTCTATCTGCCAGCTTTGGATGTCCTGGTGCTACTGCGTTTTGTCTTTCGAAGTGAAGAGCTAAGGGCTGGTTTTAGGACTTGCTTGCAGAGTTTACAAATGTCTTTTGAGGAATCAGAGGGATTGATGCTTGTAAGACAACTGATGGTGTTGGATTGAGGTCTCTTTCTGAATTTGTCTGGTTTGTTTTCAGAAACGTTTGACAAACAGCAGGCGAACACGATATTCTGGAGTCCCCAAGGGCAGTTTGTAGTGTTGGCTGGCCTCAGAAGGTGAGTTTTGCAGAGGTTTCATTTTAAGGAGGGAGAGCTAGAGTACCTCACCAAGAAGTGTTTAGTTTCCCTGTGAATGTTGATTGCTATGTAATCCTGATACAGCTTTGCAAAAGCAAAGGAAGAGCTATGTTCATCTTAGAATTCTTTTTTCTTAAATCTCTTCTTCACTGCTAAAATACATCTGAGCATATGATTTTTAAGCTTTGATTTTAACTTGCCTAGAGTATGTTTTCACTGTGACTTTAAACCATTTTTATTTATAGTCATAAAGGTCACTGAACATGGAAACAAAAGTGTCTTTCTTACTTGGAGTTTTGTTCTTATTCGTCACCTTATTTCCTAGCCACAGAACCTGTCTCTTGGTTGCAGTGGAAATTTATCTTCGTGCTGAGGAGTTTTAGGGATGCATCTTGGCTTAAAAAAAAGACCAGGCTGTATTAGTGTGTAAAACAATCTGTCTTGTTTTGTCTTTGCAGCATGAATGGTGCCTTAGCATTTGTTGATACGTCCGACTGCACCATGATGAACATCGCGGAACACTACACGGCCTCGGACGTGGAATGGGATCCTACGGGCAGATACATCGTGACTTCTGTGTCGTGGTGGAGCCACAAGGTACTGATGTTGGTTTTTTTTTTTTTTTTCCACCCCCTCCCTGCCTGCTCTTCCAGTGGTATTGGAAAGGGCTGTTGGTTTGGAAGAGAAAGTGTACACCTGTCACTGCTCATATGACTCAAACCAATAGTTTCACACATTGATACCTGAAATCACACATGAGTTTCACCAGTTGTCCAGTATAAGTCCTGGAAGGGCAGTTCATGAGTCTAAACTGAGTGTCCTTTTTCTGGATTTTCACTAAGTCTTTAGCAGTTTAAAACTCATTCTCCCGGTGGTCCACACGGAACAGCAGGATTTATTGCACCTGTCATTGCTTTTGCATGCTTCCAGCCACTGCACTGTAATCCTCTCCTGTACAAATACAGGATCTGAGACTTTAGGATATGATAGAGGATTGACTAAGTTTCAAACTGTTGTAATCTCCAGAAGGTAACTTCCTGAAAAGATTCAGTGGAACAAATATTTTGCTGAGGATTTTGACTTGTGCAGGGAAGGCACTAACAAAAGCACATTCTGGTTCTCTTGACTGATGGTGCTGATTTTCTGAAAAGACTCTTAAGAGGTGGAGTGGGGACAACAGTGTGAAGTTATAGCTTGCCTTGGCTGAGCTGGTGCACTCCTCTTCCAGGTGGACAATGCATATTGGTTGTGGACCTTCCAAGGCCGTCTGCTTCAGAAAAACAATAAAGACAGGTTCTGTCAGCTGCTCTGGAGACCACGACCAGCTACCCTGCTCAGTGAGGATCAGATAAAGGTAGTGTATTCTACTTTGTGCTGGCACTGATTTGGTGTATAAGTATACTTGATTTGCTCCTTCTTCTTAAGGATGAGGCTTGTTATGCAACTGCCTTTTGCCCTGAATGTGTGAACAAACTTATTGCTATTCAAGACCTCACTTCTGGGAATGGCTGTAAATATTAACTGTATTTTAAGCTCAAAATAGAAATGGTTACCAGTTGTTCTTAGAGTTGGGGTACAGTGGAAGGTTATAAATAATAATAAAATTGTATTTAGCTGTCCAGACTTCACTAGTTGCATGTGTACAGAAGCATTTACGTGATCTATATGCCAGGAAAAACAAACAAAATTGTAGTGAAGGGAAATTGCCTAGCTGGGAGATGATTTTCACAAGAGCATAGCATGCTTAGGCCTACCAGAGGAGTTCTTAGAAAAGATAATGGTTGTGATTGCTAGTCTTGATACTCTAATTAAAATAAAATTCTCTGTTTTACAGCAAATTAAGAAGGACCTGAAGAAATACTCCAAGATATTTGAGCAGAAGGATCGCCTGAGCCAGTCCAAAGCTTCAAAGGCAAGATACTTATGGAATATAATGTAGATGAAGCTCTTGTAACCTGTCCTTAGTTATTTTGTAACGGTGAAATGCAAGTTCCATTTATTTTATAACAACCATCTGTGTTCATTGGAGTCCAGGTGGTTAGAGTTAGTTCAATAGGTAGTTCAGAGAGATGCTGCTGAACTGTCAGGTTAAACAGTCATGAGTCTGGAGAGGAACTCCTGTTACCTCGTTAAGCAAAGGTGGTAAAATTTTGGAGTTCTTAAGTGTGTGTCATCATTAGTTTTTAAATTAAGAAAAGATCTTTCAGTCACAAACAAAGAACTCACCAAAACAGCTTTTTGATTACGGAAGAGAATATTTATTTTGTTTAGGTTCAGTAGAAAGTGTGCATGTGCGTGTGAGACAAAGGTTTGACTTGCTAGCATGCGTGTTGCACGTGGGTTTGATTTACTGGGGTGGGTTTAACAACCTCTCCCTGCCTGTGCAGGAGCTGGTAGAGAGGAGGCGGACGATGATGGAGGAGTTCAGGAAGTACCGCAAGATGGCACAAGAGCTGTACATGGAGCAGCGCAACGAGCGCCTGGAGCTGCGCGGAGGTGAGCCGTGGGCAGGGCTTGGGAAGGCCTGCTGGGGAACTGCTGCTGCTCACCAAAGAAATACCTTGTCCTGGGGTTTGTCCACTTCTCCTCTCCCTCTGTTCCCTGCTCTTCTTTCCTTCCTGTTCTCTGAAGGTTATTTGTACTTTTTATTCTGAATTGTGGAGGGACTTAAGGGGAGTGGGGAAAGTATTGGCATGACCTTGGGATAAAACTGTGAAGAAATCTGGATGTTGTATTTAACCAGAAAATCCCCAGGAGCCCTGTAGTGGAAGACAGTAATGCCTGGGTTATCAATCAGTAAATTTAGCATGTACTTGTTATGATTTAAAGCACCAAATACTTCTGGTTTTCACTACAGCTTTAAGTACTTTTTCTGCCAAGAGCATCCAGTCTTTCCATTGCTGCCTTGTTTGGTGTGCTCAGTGTTAATATTTTTCTCCATTGCAGGGGTAGACACAGATGAGCTGGACAGCAATGTCGATGACTGGGAGGAGGAGACTGTGGAATTCTTTATCAATGAAGAAATTATTACCCTTGCAGAACCAGAGTAATTAATAAAACTGTGGTAAGATAACATAACTCTCAGTAGAGAGAAACTTTTTCTGTCAGCTGTTGCTGTAGATTGGATAATTTGCTTGAGAGAGTCTGTTGCATGGGTGTGTTGTTCTCTAAGTTGGTTTATGTTTTCTCTGTGGTTAAAGGAGTCAAAAACTTTTAGAGAACTACTTTGATAGTGAAGGCATGTGTAGGATCTCTCTGAAGGAAGAGGAGACTGGAAATGTGATTTTTGCAGCTGTAGGTCACCCTGTAGCTCTTTAGCCTCCAGATATCTTAAGGAGCCCAAGTGAAACATGTACGTCTTGGAGTTGTAGAAAAATTAATAACCTTGATACCTTTGAATATATTTGGATCTGGCTTATCTGTGTCCTGTACATGGGAAGTCTTTTTATGGAAGAGAGAGGGAGAGAAGCTGCTTAGTGTATGGATTTAAACAAACATGAGTTCAGGAAGAGGTGAAACACAAGCTGATGTAGCCTTTCACCAGCTGGCATCTGAGGTTGGTATAAAAGCACAGTAACTAACTCACCTCTTCTTTCCTTTCCTGCAGCACCACCAGATCTTGTGCTGAAAAGAAGTTTGTTCATTTTCTGAAAGGCTATATCAACTTTGGAATTCTTAATCCATATTCTTGCACTCTGGAAGGGTGGATGCACCAAATTTTCTCCATTCTGACACATTGTAGTGCCTTTAAGTCTTGCTGCCTGCTGCAGTGAGATACTGGAAAGGCGCTGCTTTTAAATCTTTATTCTTTATTTTTTCTTTTTTTTTTAAGGGTTTGATTTTTTTTTTCTTTTTAAATCCACTACTACCAGTATTTACTTCCTGACCCCTGTGCAGTCCTTACCAGCTGGCAGTTTTTGCCTATTGCCAGTGGGGTGGGGTTCCCCAGTGCACCTCCGTCTCACACGCACCATGTTCCGGTTTCAGGACTCTTTCCATGTCCCCAGGGCATGGACAGGTGTTCCTTTTGGTTGGGGAAAAGTCAGCAGAACCATTTTTCGTATGATATGTCTTAGTGTGCTGAAGCAGCACTACAGTGGGCTATATCCTCCTCCTTTCAGATTGTGAAAGGATGCCTCTCCCTCAAAGAGCTGAATATGGAAATAAAAGCAGACCTATACTAAAACCAGGCTGGCTACGTGTTGTTTGTAGGGAATCTTTCCCTGGGTGATCAAAGTCAAACACACCCACAGTAATAAGAGTGTGTTTGCTATAATGACTGTATGGTTCTTTTGGATTTTTTTTAATCTTGGTTCCTCGTGGCTCTTCTGGCTTTGTGTTGTGGTTGATTTGTTTTTTACACGGTGGTACAGCTCATTAATCTGTCAAGTTGACCTGTTCACTCTAATGGAGTGACTAGAAAATGAGTGGATTTCTGGAACTCTTTGCAAACTGATAAAAGCCTCAGGAATTACTGGGTAAGTCTGTCTTATTCTTAAACCCTGCAGACTTCCAGAGCAGTGGTCTGTATGCACATGCCTTGTGCTCCCTGTTACAGTACCTGGTTTCATTTCCAAAGGCCTCTGTGCTCAGTGAGGAAAACTGTACCCGAAGGTGCTGCAGCAGCTTCTCTGTATTTGGATTTATGAGTAGTAATTCTTTCCTGGGTATTGTCAGAGCAGTTAGAGATTGGCCTACTCCTTGCCCTTGGAGGGGCAGGAGGAGAATGAGGGTATTCCTGTCCCCTCTTCTGGACTGGCCAGGGAAGTTGCCTCTTGACTGACTTCCTCAACCCTGAGCTCACCTGTGTCGCAGTGTGGGAAGTAGAGAGCACCCTGTGGGCACAGGGCAGGCCGAGTGAGCTGCAGGCAGCCCTGGTTCAGGGTTGTTTCAGCACTCACTTTTCTTTGTCCTTAGGTGAACGTGCTGTGATAGCAAATGCACAAATCCCATGTCCCCTTCACCAGGAACTTTTCAAAATTATTGTTTCCATAATTGTGGTAGTGACCTAGCTTCAGTAGTTCACTCTTTAACCAGCAGGTGCTGTTTTTCCAGAAGTCTGTATTAGTTTCCAGTGTTTTGCATTTGTTCGTTCATAATCCATATAAAATATATAGCTGATTAAAAGTTTTGCCCACAGTATTTCCCAACCTCATTTCTTAACTTGACTGGAAAGAAACTTTCTAGAAAATTTTCTAGAAAAACAGTGAGGAAGAACTTCCAGCACATCAAAGATCTCTGGTGATAATAGAATGATTTGGCTTGAAAAGGACCTTAAAGATCATCCAGTTCCACCCCCCTGCCATGGGCAGGGGCACCTTCCACTCGACCAGGTTGCTCCAATCTCCAACCTGGCCTGGAAAACTTCCAGGGATGGGACATCCACCTGAATTGCTCTGGGCAACCTGGTCCAGTGTCTCAGCTCCCTCAAGAATGATGGCTTGAACTTACATAGCAGGAGTCATTTTTATTACCCTTTGGTTGTGAAAAGATGACTTCTCAACCATTTTCTAAGTCACAAATTGAGCTGAAAGGTTTTTTTTTTCCCTATATCCATGCAATGAAGTTTTATTTCTGATGTTTTATTCCTGGCAGTTTTCAAAGTAATGAAATGTAATGGTAATGTCAGAGGAACTGAGTTCTCTTCTGAGATGCTTCTCTGAAGTGTGAATCATCAGTGAGGGGAAAAAAAAAAACCAACAAAGAAAAAGCACCCAGAATTGTTGCTCCTGCAGGAGCTTTGGAAGTTGACCAGGTGTCCTCACCAGCAGCTCAGGTTTTTTCTCATCTCTATCTGGCATTTTTGACGCTGCTCCTTTCAACTCTTGCATCTTTTCCTCTCATGTTTCTTACTTCAAATGCTTTTTGCAAATTGTGTGCTACTGAAATTGTTTTATGGGGTTGTATTAAACCTGTCCCTTTGGCATGTGTTGTAATATCACTAGGAGTTGTAGTAGGGAAGAAGAGTCATCTTGGATTGAATCCACGTGCTGTGCAGCTTCACATTCTCTGCCACTGTTTTTCAGCCTGTGCCTTTTTCAGGGCTTCAGAAGGAAGGTCAAAGCAGCAGCAGGTTTGTAGGTACTGTCTGGAGCTATATGAGGGTGGGGAAAAAGGCTTCCAACAGCTCTTGTACGTCCACTGAGTGCCCTTAAGGGTCCAGAGTTTGGGTGGGAAGGGAAACAAACCTTAAGCATTAAGATAGTATCTCTCATTGTTTTTGTTGAAGTATTGTATAAAGTATTTTTAATGATTGTTCTTAAATAGCAAGATTAACTGGACCAATTCATTTAATCCTGGGCTAGTCTTCACTCTCACAGTCTTTGTTTTGAGTTTGTAATAAATATTCTCATGACCTTTTAACCACCTACAGCCCTTAATGCAAACTTCACAGGACAAATTTTGTTCACTTCCTATACTAAGCTTTAACTACTTAAATTCTAATATTTTTGATAAAGCCTTACTGTAACTTTCATGAGCTTTGGCTCATTTACTGTCAATAAATAATGAAGACAAAAGGATATCTTGGTTTTGTGATTTTTTTTTTTTAATATATTTTTCATAGGTTGTAATGAATGGACTGACACTAAAAATGCTGAAGGGGATTGACTTCCCGAACGTGGGAATTGTGAAATGCCGCTGTGTGTGAAGTGACAGTGCAATGAAAGTTTGCTCAGGGAGTTGGGCCTTAATTTGGGCTTTTAGGGGTGTCATTTTGCTGATCCTGACCCCTTTCACTGTTTCCTGTGCAAGGTGCTGCTTCCCCCAGCTCCTTCCTGCCCTGAAGCTAACAGCGTGTGGCTGCTGCCTCTCCCTGTCCCTGCAGTCACATCCCACCTGGGGGAGTGCAGGTGCTGCCTCTCTTTTCCATCTCCAGGGTGGTGGCTGCTGCCTCTGCACCGCTCAGTTTGCTGCCTCTGCACCTGAAGGGCTCCAGCCCCATGTGCTCCTCCCTGGGCAAATCCCCCAGCCCTGAGGTGGGATCGTCCCAAACCTCGACCATGAAGGAGCAGCAGCTGACGGTGAGTCCACTTGCTCAGGGGAGGAAATGGGATGGGGAGGAGCAGCTGGGTTGTACCCATCCTTCAGTATCCTTAAATACTGTGTTTTCCAGCTGTCTTCTGGTATTCCTGGGCTCTGTGGTCCAGCCAGTGGAGAAAAACCCAGACTTGTGCTAACCAGGCATGATATAAAGCGAAAGTTGTGTATAAGTGTCCTGCAGAGGAAAAAAAAAATGTGCTGTAGGGCGGGTGGGGCTGGGTAACCTGGCAGGTGGTGATGGTAGGTAGTTCTCCATGTGCCTGTCTTTTTGGGGTCTGACACATTCACAATAAACAGCCCAAAGCCTCTGGGATTACAGTCCTGCATCTCTCTTTGTTGATCCCAGTAAGAGGAATGCTTTGAAAATGTAATCCTCTCCCAAGTTTCAACCTTCAACCCTGTGCCTCTCAGTTAAACTGAAGCACTGCTCTCACAGTGTGCTGGAACATGACTGGGGCAAACACAGAAACCTCTGCACAAACTGGAATTGCTTAAAATAAAGTCAATAATATGTGGAATACCTTGCATTCCTCCCTAATGCAAGGAAAAGCCTTAGTACTTGGTGTGACCCAGCTCCACATGCTGCTTATTTGGGTTTGTTTTCTTACCCTCAGTGGCTGGGGTTCACAAATACTGTGATTAACTGGACCATTCTGAAGGTTAAGTCTGTTCAAGAGAGACTTGCATGATCCCCTCTGCCTCCTGCAGAATTTGGGATTATGGTGTACCAGATAATATTTTTAAATGCTTTTAAGAGCATTTCAGCCCTTGGGAATGAGATGCTCATAGCAGTGTCACTCAGCTGTGTTTTGGAAGATGATGAAGCTGCAACAATTAACTTATTCTTGTGAATATTAAAAGCTATCAAAAGCCAAGGAGCTCACATTGTACTCGGAGATGTTCCCAGTGAAGAAATGTTCCTTTGCTGGAACTACTCAAAACTGGCTACTACAGTGCTTAAGACTGGGAGCTGTTTGTGAAGCCCTCATTTAATTGACACATAGCTTGTTATTGTGGAAATAAATCTGGTTCCTATAGAAACTAGCTGCTTGTGACTGGTGGGGCTGTAGAACGAGTCTGTTTTGGTAACTCCCACCCTCCTGATGGGGTGTTGTTCCTGTGCAGTGTTTTATCAGCATCAGCTCTCCTGGCAGGAGCTGCAAAGGGAATGTTGCTGTGTTTAATGGAAGGGGAAAAAAAGCCATGGAAAAGTGAAAATAGAATTTTTCAAATCTCTGTTATTAACTGAGACCTCAAGGGCAGTTTGGTGGGATTTCAAATAGACCCTCCACCAGGCACACAGGTTTGGGACTGTGCCACAGCTGCAAAGTGAGTCAGGGCCAGAGCAGGACCTCAGCTTCAGGGGGCCCAGTTAACCCCACAGCTGATGTGTGACACCACATTTTCTCTATGGCTTCACCTGTAGATTAAACAGGCTGAAATACATGTGCTCTTGTCTATTAGTGCTGACAAATGGGTTGTGCCATTGTGTTTTAAATCTTCGGGTCAAATTATCGTCTGTGTTTCAAGCAAAGCAGTGTGTTTCTGGCTGATTGAGTTGTGGCACAAGGCACTGGCAGTTAATTGCTACTTTATAATCACTCCAGTCCTGCCATGAATTCCAACTCCCGAGGAACCCTGTGGGAACTGCACAGATCAGGGCCAACTTGCTCTGATCTGGTTGAACAGGCTCATAACGATTGCTACCTGGGATTAAACAAAATGGGTACTTAGTGAAATGCAATTCCCTTTCTTTGCCATGGATAACTTTAATCAGTGTTTTGGAAGCACCAGGGGAATGTGTAATCGTGCTCAGCCCTAGGACTGTTGGTGCCACGGTCCCAGACCTCCGAAGGTTCCCACTGGCAGCCGCAATGACACGGCTGAGTTCACTTTGCCACCTTCTCTGTCAATCAGTTGGAGTCTTGCTGTGTTAGAGGCAGAAACGGGGAAAGAGGGAGGAAGAATTTGTCAAGATAAAAGCACAAATCACGAGGGAATGAACTCGTTTAAACTTTATAAACTTCCTTAAACTTTTAGGCCTTAAGCTTTAAGGTATTGAGCTTGATCAGCAGAGAACTCGCAGCGAGCTGTAGCCCTTGCTGGTGCTTGCTCAGAGCTGAGCCCTGCTGCAGGTATGTCTGG